TTCTCTGTTTGTTTTTCCTGAATTCTGCATGATGTCTACAACAGAATAGTAGGGATTCAGTACATTCTGAAGAAAGAGAGAGAGAGGAGAGAAAGTAGAGACAAGGAAAGGAATGTCTATACATTTGCTTGTGTAAACAAGGTAACTAAACATCCAGGGGTTTTTTGTTTTGTTTTGTTTTGCGGTACCAGGGATTGAACTCAGGACCCTGTGCTTGCGAGGCAAGCACTTATTCTACTGAGCTATCTCCCCAGGCCCAACATACAGATTTTATAAAGAAAAACAAAATATAAAACAGGAAAATGAAATACTATGTTAAGGGACCTCATGAATTTGAAATAAAGGCTGGAAATTTGGGTTCTTCCATTTGTTTTTACCTTTTTTTTATTCTGATGCTGTTTTCTCCTATTGCTTTTTCCTTATCCAGGAATGAAAGTATATATGGGTATGTCACATGGTGATATTCACATATGAAATTTGATCATTATCATTCTAACTCTAAGAACTCACTGCTTCTTTAATCAGTTGTCTTGTCTTGCTTTGTTTTGCTTTGCTTTGTTTTGTTTTGTTTTGCAGTGTTGGGGATTAAACCCAGGGCTTCACATAGACTAGGCAAGCCATCTCCACAGAACCACATCTCACTGCTTTCTTTTATGACGTTTGATATTTGTTAGTTCTCATGGAAAATATGGATAATGAAACTATATAGAAAAAAACCAAATAATGACATTTACAGTTATTCTATGAAACAAGTCCAGATATTATAATCAACTAGATTTTTTTCTGTATTGATTTGGTTTATAGATGCTCTGTCTTTCCAGTTTCATCAAGCAGTTTTTTTCTAATGACCTGTAGAGTGAAATCACAGGTCTATTTCCAGTCATTTTCCAATATTTTGTTTCCAGTACATATCATCTTGCAATGTGTTCCCTCATGGCACATTACATGATCATCATATTAAGAATGAGAAGTGTGGTTGATGATTGACTACTCTCTAATTACCCAGAGTGTTTGTCAAAGGCAGTAGGCAGGAGACATACGCTCTATTTTGCTGTTATATTGACTGTGAAGGTTATAGCACATCACTGCTAATTTAAAAACCTCCCCCCACAAGGATGTTTAGAGGAGAAAGCCTTTCCCAGCAGAAAATTTCCTTTCCACTAGAATAAACAGTGACGAAAATATCTGGTAGTCCAAATAGGTGGATCCCATGCTTTCAAAGTAAGGGACATTTCTAAAATGAGTGCTTGTCAACTTCTTCCCATAATTGAGACATTAATAGATGTTTTCCTAACAGCTCTCCCATGAAATTTCAATGCCTTAGATATTCTGTTTAGCTGTTTCTGTGCTGTGATCCTTTGGAAGGACACAACCCATTATACTATGTCAAGCTCTCTGTACCATGCACAACTTATGCACAGTTGAGAATGCTTGTCCTGCATTATTCTTGCAGGCACACACTGACTTAATTCAAGTGACATTTCATCAGTGAAAGTCTCCTATGTGGTAAACCACACTATTCTGGAGTATTTACCGCAAGAGGGCATATGACAAAAAAGGGTTCATTAATAAGGCATTTCATGCCAACCAAAAGGCAAAATGTCATTCTTCTTAGGAATAAGGAGGCCCTAGTAATACTAAAGGCCATATGGTTGCCAAGACAAATACTGTGCATGTCAAAAATATTGTATATCTCATGAATTCAGATTCCTTCACTTGCATATAGGTTTTTCTCTCAGAAGCAATAAGATTATGAACTTGTGACAGTTACCTCTTATTTGCTTATTTTTCAGACTCTGACTATGTATACTTTCAGCTCCATGAAAGCAGGGACTCTGTCTGGCTTAGCTCACCATCATATAATTTTAACAAAGGAAAGATGCAAAGGAGAAAGAGGGAGACAAGGAACTATGCTATGTTTCTTGAACACAGACTAAGAATACTACATTTACTATGAAGATCCAGACATTCAAAGAAATAAATGAGTAAAGTATTATAATCATGTGTAGCTATAGTGGGATCAAAGCAATGATTAATTCTACCTGGTTGGAGGTTGAGGGGTAAAGTGAAGTGGGTTGAAAAATGTTCACAGAGACAAGGTTGCATTAAGATTTCTGCAAGTGTAAAAGCATTCTTGACTTCATGGGCTCCTTCTTACACAAAAATCTACCTTTTGGAATAATATAACTCTGGTACAACAGCATGAGCATAATCATCTGGTTGCTCTAGTTGCAAAGAGCTAGGAAGCTCAGCAAGTTACCACGTTTAAGTGAGAAAGAGAGAAAGAACCTAAAGACAAGCTGGAAGAGGCAAGGGTGGGAGGAAACCGATTTGCAAGGCCTGGAAGGGAGAGATGTGTGGATGACTGGGTAGAAAATGAAGAGAGTAAAAAGACACAGAGACAGAACCAGAAAGAAAAGAAGGGGTGATAAATGAAATTAGAGAAGGAAGTGACAGTCAACGTGCAACAAGCCCTGTGTTAAGAAGTCAGGCTTCAGAAGGATAATGAGAAGCCAGGTGAAAGTCTCCATTTTAAGAACAATACCACGTTTGCATTTTGAGCATTCATTCAAACTGACTGGCAAATATCATAGACTTCCAAGCCCCCTTTTTAGGAACAAGGTACCCACCTCCTGCTTCTGGGAATATTAGCTGTTAAATGTGTGCAACCCAGTCCTCAGATGAGAATTGTACCCAGCCACAGTGAACTGCCTTTCTCAGGGTAGACTCTCCCCCAGAGTGCACATGTAGCTGTGGATGACTGTTTTGGTGTTTAAGGGCCTGGGCGAAGGGCAACCCATGCTCTTATGCTCCCTGAAGGCTGAGCCTCTGCTATAACTATGTCATTGACTACTTTTCCCCTTGCCTAGTCCTACTCTGTTAAGTTTCTGTTGCTACAAACCATATTATTATGAACTTAATGCCTTAAAATAATACTTACTTATCGTCTCATTGAGTATGTGGTCAGGGGTCAGGCACAGAACAGCTGATTCTCTTTAAGCTGCAGGGTGTTAGCCAGACTGCTTCCATGTCTGGACATGTAGCAGAGGTGAAACAATCTCATCTAGGTTGTCATCAGAATTTATTTCCTGTGGTCATAGAAGTGAGGCTCCAGTTTCCTGTTCGTTGTTGGCTGGATGCTATCTTTGTGATCAACAATTCCTAGAATCTTCTCAGTTTCTTTCACACTGACTTTTCAAATATGGCCACTTAATAAATCAAGCCAGCATAGAAAATCTTTAGAACAAATCTGCTAGAAAAAACTCTTATAAAAGCAATTGCAAGGTACATCTCATGCCCTTTGTTGTACTCTATTCATTAGTAGCAAGCCACAGGGCTGATACTCAGGGGGAGGAGCTTACAAGAAGGCATGAAGACCAGGAGACAGGAATAAGGGTCAGCAACCTTAGAGTCCATCTGCACTACTTGCCTTTCTCATTTTGAACAGATTTCTCTCCTGAGATCACTGCCCAATTAGCCTTTTGCATGCAACTACTCATTTTAAGATCCGTAGCCAAGAAGCAACACTGGAGGCAGACAAATAAGTGAGAAACTGTTGCTGTCCTTTAACTCGGGGAGATGGCAGGGAAAAAATGAATACCAAACTTTATTTCCATTAATAAATGTACAGTTGTTATTATGGCTGATTTGGAAATAAAATCAAGTCCACGTTCACAGGAAATAAAGCCAGTATGTCAAACAGACACTCCAGTGTTTATTACACCCACCACTAATCACAACAGCCAAAACATGGAAACAGCCTAAGTGTCCAGCAGCTGATGGGTGCATAAAGAAATGTGGTGCACATATGCACAAGAGAAGGAGGCGAGCAATGATAATGATGAAATCCTGTCATTCACAATGACAAAGATGGACTAGAGATCATTATATTAAATTAAATAAGCCAAGCACAGAGAGGTACCACATGATCCCACTCATATGAAAGCTAAAAGCACTGCTCTCACAGAAACAAAGAAGAGTAGAATGGTGCTTGCCGGGGCCTAAGGAAGGGAAGGTGACAGGGATGGAGAGAGCTGAAGTTATGGTACACCACAGAAAAATAGGGTGACCAGAGATAGTGATAAGGAACTGCACTTTCTTTCTTTTTTTTTTTTTCCGGAACTGGGGATTGAACTCAGGCCCTTGCGCTTGCCAGAAAAGTGCTTATTCTACTGAGTTATCTCCCCGGCCCCTCACTTTCAAAAAGCTAAAGGAAAAGACAAGTATTTGAGGGGACAAATGGACAGATATGTGTAACTTAGTTTAAACATTACACAATGCATATACAAGGTGAAACATCACATGGTAATTCATGAATATATAGAACTTTTATGTTTTATGTGCCAGCTAAAAAAAGTAAATTTTGAAAATTCAAGTCCAAAACCTACAAAGTGTCTTCCAAAAAAGGTACAGACAACAAAAATGACAGATTAAGCACAACTGATAAAAATTAGATTCACTATATTCCACAGCATGAAAATAACTCTCAGAACATAAGCAGTCACTCAATCAGAAAGAAGTGATTAGTAATTTATTAAGTGAGCATAAACTGGACTTTCATAAATCACAGAAACAAAACTATCCTATTAGAGATTGACACTCAGTAAGTATACAAGAACTGCTGGCATGCTAACAGGATAAAATTCCCCCTTGTAAATCAACATTCCCATTTTTATCTATCTCATTTAAAACTGTTTACTTTCACTTACCTAGTCATAGAGAGCAGCATCAACAATATTCAGAAAGGACCCATTTTCAATTATTGTGGTACCATGGTATACGTACTTTCTACTGGGAAAATTATTTCCTTTACATCCTCAAAGTGATATATATATATATATATATATATATATATATATATATATATATATA